ATATATGGCACAAGAGGATGAACAAAAGGATGATGTGCTGTTTAGGTCCTGTGCCAAGATTTATTTTCTATTTAATATAAACAAAACTTTCACATATTTTCATCTACTGCTGACACTTTATTCCACCTTCTGCTGATGTACTCTATACGTCCATATTTCTCGAACAACTTACAAATATACCAAAGATTTGACTACTGGGACATCACCGTTGTGCTTTCTAAGGTCAGTTGGCTGTGGCAGCCATTTTTAATTGTGCTGACTCCAAAAGCTACACAAACACTGATGTACCTGCAATGATCACACTCTGCAAGTTTCATTCAAAATGTTTCAGTGGTTCTTCAGATATTCTGAGACTTAAACACACACACGAACAAAGCATTATTATCCAATATGCCTTTAGGCAGCAGGTGATAAAAACCTTTAAATGTCTGTAAATGCATCAATAAATTACTCTATATAATACAGCAAGAGGGTTTATGGTTCATGCAAGTTATCTAAATTAATTTATCTCATTGTGCTGCCTTTGTTGTTTGATATGTTGCATTAAAAATAAAATAAAAGTTTGTGTTCAGTTTCCTGAAATATTTTCTTTCACTTTCCCAACGATAAGCACAAATGACGCGTTAAATAACTGCATCAGTAAACTGCTTTACAGTATAATGATCTACAATCCTACTATGAGGTATATTGCAATAAAACAAGTTAAACTCTCCATTCTGTCGGTGTCAGAAAGATATTAAAAACAAAAGTCTGTCTGCGTGTTGGAGCCAGTCCAGTTTAGGAAGCTAACTTTCCTTAAAGAAATGCTTTCATTCAATCATATCTACAGATATTGTGTTCAAAATTTGTTGTGAGCGAGGCCCTCACACACTCAAAGCGTGGCATCTCGCAATATTACATGTGGTCGGTGTTTGGACAAAACGGCTCCAACGTTGTCGTTATTTTTTTCGTCATTCAGTGTGTGATATGTACCCATCAATAAGGTCTAACTGGCCTTTAGTTTTCTTATTGTTTCTGTACAAATAAAGACAATAATTATGAATTTTCTTATTGTTTCTGTACAAATAAAGACAATAATTATGAATTTTCTTATTGTTTCTGTACAAATAAAGACAATAATTATGTAGTTTAAGCATGTGAATAAAAAACATGTTTGGGAAATGTTGCCAGTAGGGACAAAAAAATGGTCAAAACATGTCCAGGAAAAAGGTAATAAAGATGGTTTTGACAAATTTAAAATAAAATGTTTGAAGCAATAAAAATACAAATATAACTCAGAGTAGTTTCTTGTGTGTATTGTGAGATTTGCATGTTGGCTTTGTTTTTATGTCTGCTTTATCCATAAATTAATTGTTTATTTATTTTGCATTGAACATGTTTAAATAAAATTTAATTGATGCTGATTTAGCAATAATTTTGTTTAGTCAATAAATAAACACACAATGTAACTCTCAAATATGATCTAACAGTTTGCTGTTTCAATATTTAAGTTAGCCTCAAGTTACAAATTTGCTTAATGAGCACAGCCAGCTCATGTGCTTCACCTCAGATTCATAAAATCTGTTCCACTTGATCTGAACATATATGTGTGTGTGTGGGGTGGGGCGGGGGGGGGGGGGGTGTTGGCCGGTCAGCCATTTAAGATAATCTTTCTTTTTTGAGTGTGTTTAAATAATTTACTCCAGTCATGCTCGTTTTCAGTAATCTGATTAAAAGGCAGGCACATCTGTGGGCAGCACAATACGGTCATGCTTTGTGTCTATGCACCTCGTGACCCAACAGTTTAAAAACAAAACCACTATGGATAACTTTACTCTTAGAAAACCATTCATTAAACTACTGCACAGGTGTGAACTAATACGCATCCTCAGGGCTAAATCACACAGAATCACATCTGTCCATTATCTTTAACCACTTCTTCCTTTTGGGGTCGTGGGGTCACTGGTGTCCATATCCAACCATCACTGTATGAAAGGCGGGGGACACCCTGGACAGGTCTCCAGTCCATCACAGGAACACATAGTGACAAATGAGACAAACAACCATTCACTCTCTCACTCACACCTAGGGACAATTTAGAGTTACCAATCAGTCTAACATGCATGTTTTTGGTCTGTGGGATGAAACCGGAGTACCCGGAAAAAATCCACGCATGCACAGAAAGAACATGCAAACTCCACCCAGAAAGACCCCTGGCCGGGATTTGATCCGGCAACCTTCTTGCAGAGAGGCGGCAGCTCTATCAACTGCCCACAAAATCACAATTTTTGTTAATATTAAAAACTCTAGTAGATTGTAATGTGCATAAATACTGTGTTGTCATATTTCTGAAGCACAAACAAACTAAGAAATCAGTTTATTAAATCAGCTCTTTGTTGATTTTTCTCATAAGTATTAAAATCAAATTGATTTTTAATTTGAAAACCTTCTCTTCATGTTCTATAGATCTTCATGTACTTATTACTGGTGATACTTATGTGGACTTTTGATGGTTCAAGCCAGACTCTAACCCTCCCTGCTCCCCCCTGTATGATAACTGATGAAGCTCAGCGTACCTCCTCCCACTGGTGGATGTACCGGATCAGCCTGGACAGCCTCAGAAGGCGCAGCAGACTGAGGATCTTGGTGAAGCGGACAATGCGAAGTGCCCGGGCAGTTTTGTACACCTCGGAATCGATCCCCTTCTCCACAATGAGGAAGATATAATCCACAGGTATGGAGGAGACAAAGTCCACCACAAACCAGCTCTTCAGGTACTTCCTCTTGATCTTCTTGGGGTCGAGGATGATCTCGGTGTTGTCCTCGAACACAATGCCCGTCCTGAAGTTGAGCACCAAGTCCATGAGGAAGAATGTATCGGAAACCACGTTGAAGATGATCCAGGGCGTGGTGGTTTCATCCTTGAAGAAGGTGATGCCAACAGGGATGATGATCAGGTTGCCCACCATGAACATCAGCATGGAAAAGTCCCAATAGAACCTGAATGATGAGCGAACAATAAAAAGTCAAGCGTCAGGGTCAACTCTTAAATATGTGGGGAAATCATCAGATTTCAGCCTCTGTGTGTGAGCTAGATTATCATGTCTGAAATCTGCAGTTTTGATGTCGGGACACACTTTTTGCAGCTGATATCAAATGCTAACAAAGATGCTGATGTTGCTCTGGCAGTATTTATTGTGTTATTTGATTATTTATAAAGAGAACCACTTTCAAAGGGGACTTACTTATATATATATATATATA